CCCCAAAACCCCAAAACCCCAAAACCCCAAAACCCCAAAACCCCATATATCTGCTAAAATATTTCAAATTTCTATTATTAAAATGGAGAAATCAGATACAAAGAAGCCAAAAATCAACCCAAACATCAAAATAACCCCTACTGCTAAAGCCGAAGAGACCAAAGTAAGCTTCCCTGCCTAAACCCTCTAGGAGTCCTCTGCAGCAGAGACTAATAAGATCATCCAAGAGAAACTCAAAGATTTTGAGATTGAACAGCAGAAGAAAGAGGAGGAGAAGTCTTTGGAAGAACAGAAGCAAAAGATCGTCAATGAAGTCAAGAAGATGGCCGAAAAAGCAGACGATATTATATCCAGAGATAAGTACGAACTCAAAGAGAACATCAACGCAGAGGAGAAGGTCAAGGCTATGTATGACCTTTTTAAGACCATTTCTGAGTCATGCTACGAGGACTCAGTTGATTTTGTCAAGCATTCCCTTGATTCAGAAATTGATGAAAGGCTCATGCAGATTCTCAATAATTACGAAAACAATGAAAGCAATACTATTCACAAACTACAAATTTTAATCAGAGATTTGCAGGATAAGACACCTAAAATTCATGAGGAAGTTGACAAATTTATTGAAGCGCAAAAGGAATGGCGGAAAGAAAAAGAACTCGAATTCCAGAAATCTATCCAAACCATCAGATCCCAAATGGCTCCATCCAACCCAGAAACTGGCGAAAATGAAATGCTCTCTAAATACAATGAATTGTGCGAATACGTGGATACGATGAAGAACGAGGGCATTGACAACATCATCAACGAGCGTGATGAGAAGATCAAGGAGCTCAGAGAGACCAAAGACATCAAATTAACAGAGAGTAAAAATAACATCGAGGAGAAAATACAAGTCCTCAAGCGTGAAAATGACAAGCTCAAGAAGGAACTTCCTCAATCAAGGAAGGACTACACTAAACATAAAAATGAGTCAAAGAAATTAGTCCAGATCATTGAGGCTAATAATAAGAAGAAGAGATCATATAAGGACAATATTACAAAGCTCAATGATCAGCTTAAGGAACACAAGAAAAAGCAGAAGGAGTTGTCAGACCTTGTAGATTCCTTGAAAGAGCACTATAATGACGCCTCTCAGTAGATTCACAAAGAAGGAGTATATTTGTATAGCAAACACTCCTTCAATATAGAGAGAATTCGTAGGGGTTTTGGGGTTTTGGGGTTTTGGGGTTTTGGGGTTTTGGGG